GGAGTCTGCTTCTCCCTCTGATCCTCTTCCCTCTCATGCTCTCTGTCTCTCATTCTTTCTCTCTCAAATAAATAAATAAAATTAAAAAAAAAAAAGAAAAGAAAATCCTTTAAAAAAAAAAAAAAAAAACTTCCCTGAATTTATCTTCAGATATCCCACCTTTGTTTACCATTTAAGTGCTATTAAAACTCAGGAATATAAATCTGATACGGCTTCAATTATGTATCCCACATCCCCTTTGCTTTTCTGTGGATACACATCTACAAGTTCCCTACTATCATTGTTTCAATGGAAGTAAGAAACACAAGGTCATTTGTTGCTTTATTTTACGGAGTTTTTATATCTGCTGAACCATTCCATCTGTTCAGATTATTTAGAAGATAAATATAATAACTAGAAAACTGATCAAGCATATTTTAGTTAAAGTACAGTATATTCACTTATCCAGTAAGCTGTTTTTAAAGACCATTGTATGATTCACATTCAGAATGCCCAAACAAATAAGAAGCTGATATTAAGTATATAAATAAATGATGTGTGAGGGAAACATTGTAAGGCTATTCATGAAAATTGGTTTCCCCATAGCTTCCATTATAAGTATTAACAATTTAAGCTGCTATGAATATTACTGTTTTTGCATGTCACAAGAGCTTTATGTTCTTCAATCAGATGTCACTCTAATAAGCTTTTCTAATTTGTTTTTAAGTGTTCTTCACAAAAGGATTATGTCATTCTTGCCACTAGAACACCACCCAAAGAGGAACAAAATGAGAACCTCACACATCAACAAAAAGCTAAGTTGGATAACTTGGATGAAGAATGGGCCACAGAACATGCCAACCAGGTCATCATATTTGTCTTTTTATATAGTTAAGTTGTGCTTATTGACTAACAAAATAAAAGCACTTCATCCTCAGATTACTAGACTAGGATTTCAGAGTACTCATTTTTAAGTTTTCAAAACTTGCATAGTATATCAATGATAGAAGTATTTTCTGTTCTGTTTCATCCATGATTATATTTTTCATTTGTTGATTACTTGTGTATAATTTTAAAAAGTATTTTTTACTTGAGTTTAAATAACCCACCCAAGATTACATAATAAGTGATGGAACTGGGATTTGAACCCAGGCAGTCTGATTTGGAAGCCTTTGACTTTATATGCTGTGCTTTTATTTATTTATTTATTTATTTATTTATTTATTTATTTATTAAAGATTTTATTTATTTATTTGAGAGAGAGAGAATGAGAGAGAACACATGAGAGGGGATAGGGTCAGAGGGCAAAGCAGACTCCCTGCCGAGCAGGGAGCCCAATGCGGGACTCGATCCTGGGACTCCAGGATCATGACCTGAGCCGAAGGCAGTCGCTTAACCAACTGAGCCACCCAGGCGCCCTATATGCTGTGCTTTTAGATTGTTAACCTTTATGCACTGTTTTTTAACCTCTCTTTATTATTGGTCCTTTAGCTTATTTACAAGTATTCTTTAAAATAATACTAGTTATTGACAATAAAGTTGTTGGTCACATTGTTTTAAAGACTTAACGTGGGTACTGAGAGAATAAAATGATGGTTTGGTTAGGTTCTTTTTAATGTCCTTAGAATGTATGTTGTAACCAAAGTGAAAGACATTATTACCACAAGAGAAATGGGATAAAAGTAGAAAAGTGCTATAAGAATATAGAATGGTGAATAATTAAGTACCTGCCCATGGCTTCACAGAAGGTTCTGAACTTGTAAGATGAATAGGACTGCCAGTAGAAGTCAGAGAACACACTGAACACACAAAGGACTGTATGAATACATGATCCAAAGGCATGAAAGTTAAAGGCAGGGGAAGAGGTAGGGACAGAGCAAGCAATTGGGTATAACTGAAACATGGGTATTTAAAAGAATGTATTTAGACAGAAGATTGGAAGGGGCCAGTTTATGGATGGTTTTGGAGTGCCATCCTAAGAAGGAGTTTGATAGATAGTAGCTCTGTGGTAGACTTTCAGAGCTCCCTATCTTGAGAAGGAGTTGATATGATTGATCAGTCATTTAGAAAATAATTTCAATACCTTGATACAGTATAAATGGAGGGTAGAGAGACTGAACATCAGTTACTGTTATAGTTCAAAAAAAGATGATGTGAGCCCATTCCAGACTAAGCTTTGTGAAGATGGATCACATCTGTTTTGTTTATGGCTATATCCTCAATGCCAAGCATAGTATTTCCATAGTTTACAAGAACTCCAAAATATTGAATAAATGAATGCATGAATTAACTAATGCAGTGAGTTAAAACTTCACTGCCAAAACACTCCAGTCACAGCGCTAGTAGCAAGATGATTTAGTGACCAAGCAGACTGGGAATGAAGAGCATTTGAGAAAGTAGCTAAAGATGACAGAGATTTCTAACCTGGATGTTTAGGAAGATGGTGTTGCCATTTTATAGAAGGAAACAGATTTGGGAGTGGGTGAGAGGGAATGGTGAGTAAATACACTTGAAAGTAGTCATTGAATGGATTGTGTCAACTAATAGGAAATTTTAGAGTAAGGTAAAAGTAATCATTTCCATCTCCCATCAACTTTAAAATTTTCAGAGATGCACGTTTATCTGTATGTGTGTCTGTATTTGTGAGGGGGGGTTGTGTGTAGTAAAAGAATCTAAGAAATTTTTAATATCATCTAATGAAAATATTAAATATTTTAAACTTAAATTCCCAATGGTTTCTAAATAATTTTAGACTCCAATTTTGTTTTTGGTTTCTTGTAAAACTATATACTTATACATATGTATATAGCACATACATACCTATATGTATAGAGAGATGTGTATCATACACGTACGCATACAAACATAAAATTTTTATAGCAAAATAGGTTAACCTTTTTGCCCCTAGAAAGAAACAGCTACTTTTATGTGTTGGTGATTTTGAAAATACGCATATTTCCATGCCAAATATGAAAACTTTGTTCTTTATTTATATGTCAAGCTTGTGCTACTATAATGAATAGGATTTATGAAATCATAGGGAACCACCAGCAGACACTAAATAAATATATTCAGGAATAGACTATGGTATCTAAGAAGATTTAACTTTCTGATCAGTTTTCTTATGTACTGAGTACACACAAAAAAAGCACTTTGATCTCTTGAGTTTAGATGGTAGAAAGAAGTCCATGTGTATTAAGAACTAGCCACAATCACGTGAAGGGAAATAACATATTATGGAGAACAAATTGGTAGTGTGGGTCAGAAACCTTAAAAATATGCATAACTTCATAAACTAGTAATCCACTTCAAGAAATTTATTCTAAGCAAATAATCCCATGAACACAGAAAGCCTTGCTAGAATTTTTACAATATTATTTTAGAGTAAAGAAAAATTGGAAATAACATTCATATGCAATATAATAAAGAGATGTAAAAAATTGAAATAAATGTAAAAAATAGGAAACAATGGATTTTCAAGTCAGATCCCCTCTCTTCAAATCCCAAACTTTAGTAATCTTCTGAATATTAATAGGTATACAGAGTTAGTTGAGAATCACTTCTTCCCTTAAAGAACTTCCAGACCATTGAATACAAGTAATTATAACACAGGCTTGTCTGATAAGTTCCATGGGAAAACTACACCAAAGTCTTATGGGAGTTGGGAGATCAAAGTATCAGGGAAGGCAGCTTCCTCAAGCTGACTTTGAAGTATTCAATAGAGTTCAGACACAGAGAAGGTAAGGGAGAGTCAGTTTAGGCTGAGGGAGCAGTCTGAATGAAGGTATAGAGTTATCCAGGTATATGTATGGTATTTCAGGGAAAGTAATATCAAGTGAGGCTCTGAGTATCAGATTAGCTAGATTTTAAAGGGTCTGAAATACCAGTAGTAGATAAATTTATATATTATTTAGGTGACAGTAGAAGCCATTGAAAAATTTTTAGAAGGTATTTCAGTCTGTGATCTTGTGAGAAGGGTTTGTTTATTGATGTAGTTAAAGGGTGTCATTACTAATGGTATTAAATAGCTTTAGTTATAAAGGCAAAAAAGTAAGGACACTCTAGGAACATTGTGTATATAACGACGCCCCTTCATCATGTTTACCAAATATTTCTCAATATTTTAACCCGTTTTTCAAAGCTCCCACCTCAGTGCTATGCATATAGTTGGTACTCAAGAGTATTTGCTGATTTAATATTTAGCTTATCAAACACAAAAGATTGCATATAATGGCAAATACTTATGTTAATTAATACTATATTTTTATTTTTAGGTGTCCAGAATGCTACCAGGGGGACTTTTAGTTCTTGGAGTATTTATCATTACAACTTTAGAAATGGGAAATGATTTTCAGAATGCCCTGCGCAGAGTAAGTCTGAAATATCAAAAATTCTTAATATGATCAAAGTTACTTTTTTTTTTTTTTTTAAGCAAGCTCCACACCCAGCATGGAGTCCAACATTGGGCTTGAACTCACAACCTTAAGATCAAGATCTGAGCTGAGGATTAACATAAGAATAAAAAAAAAAAAGAAAAAAAGGAAAAAAAAAAAAAGATCTGAGCTGAGATTAAAAGTCAGATGCTTAACCAACTGAATCACCCAGGCGCCCCAAAGTTATGTCATATTTTAATTGATTATACTTATAAACAATGATCCTAGGCATATTTAGATTAGTATTCCATAATTCTTTATGCTGGGATTATGTTGAAACTGCTTTTTCCATCCAACTGCTTGGTATTTTGAGCGTAAAAAAAATGTCAGTATTTCTATTTTCAATCAAAGCTATATATTTTTAAATAGCTTTAAGTTTAAAGATAATTTTTTACTATTATGAGACAAATTATAATGGTTTAAGAGTTTTTCTTATACAATAGCAATATTCTGCTAGAGCTTCCTTTTAGTTCCAAGTGATTGCTATACTGCGAAGTTGATAGATTTTGTGATTCTTCACCTGTTCAATATTCTCAAGATCCTGAGAGTAAAACATAATCAGATTCGGGGCGCCTGGGTGGCTCAGTCGTTAAGCGTCTGCCTTCGGCTTAGGTCGTGATCCCAGGGTCCTGGGATCGAGCCCCGCATCCGGCTCCCTGCTTGGCGGGAAGCCTGCTTCTCCCTCTCCTGCTCCCCCTGCTTGTGTTCCCTCTCTCGCTGTGTCTCTCTCTGTCAAATAAATAAATAAAATCTTTAAAAAAAAAAAAAAAAACATAATCAGATTCTTTATTCCTGGACAGAGTATCTATCATTAGTCCCCTCCTTTTTTTATTCCCATATCAGTAAATTGGGTAACATAGTATGTAAATAAATATGAAGGTCTACAAGCTGTTTCCCCTTAAGCCCAAATCTAAAGCAAACTTTGTGCAGGCAGCTTTCATCTCTTTTAGTACTCAGGATGCAAATGAGCCTTCAAAAAGTTCTTTCCCACCCCAAGAGAGGGGGGGACCCTATAATCTTGAGAAGTGCAAAACCCCACAGAATCTCCAAAAAACATTTTCTAGTAAAAAAGTGTGCAGCCAGTAAGAATCACAGCTGCTACAGATTCTTCCAGTTTTGTAACCTTTCCTGTCAAATGTCCCACATTAAATCTTTGCAATTTTACCTAAGGGAGAAAGGGAAGAAAATGGAGATATTCCTCCCCCCTGGCTAGTTACTCAACTTTCTGCTGTTTTTTCCATTTTAAATAAATGTACCTTTCACAGTTGTTCATCTTCTTTGACATTTTGAAATGTAATCTAAATGTGTTTTTAATCTCATTGGTTGTGCATCCTTTTGTGGTTGGCACTGGATTGCATAGGGTGAATGTGGGCTCAATGCTAGAGAGATACAGTTGGTCCTCTTTCTTTTTTTTTTTTTTTTAAGATTTTTTATTTATTTGACAGAGAGAGACAGCGAGAGAGGGAACACAAGCAGGGGGAGTGGGAGAGGGAGAAGCAGGCTTCCCGCTGAGCAGGGAGCCTGATGTGGGGCTTGATCCCAGGACCCTGGGATCATAATCTGAGCCAAAGGCAGACGCTTAACGACTGAGCCACCCAGGCAGCCCCCAAGTACACGGTCCTCTTTCCTTTTGCTTCGAAGAAATTTCTTTTGATATCATTATTAAGAAAGTTGTGCCTCTTCTCATCAGTTGTGTTCAGTTTATGGACCATGTGAATTAGGTAACAGATTAGGTTTGTCTGTGCACATTATTATTAGGAGGTTTAGAGTCAAATTTATGACCCCTCTACTCATATCAGGTATGTATTTTTATAGTTCTTATTTCTGGCATAAATGTATGTCACTATTTCTGATTTTTTTTTTACTTTCAGTTTGTTACTACTATATTTTATGTGTACTGTATAGTGCCTTATATCTTTTGTGATATTTAGTAAGAAATCCCAAAAGGGTGACCTGCTTCATTTTTGTAGGTTAAAAGTCACTTGTCATTTCTCATTCTAATTAAAATAGTCTTTATTCTATACTTCTAAACTTAAATCCTAATTACCCGAAATTAATTTCTTATGTCCAGTTGATCAATGACCGTGATTTATATTTTTACATTTAGAACCCAAATTTTATAGATCCCTGAAAATGGAATCCAAAAAGTTAATAATCAGTTTTACTCTTTCTTTTGAAGAAAATAAAATTTAATGATAGAATCATGGAATTTTAAAGCTAATTAGGAGCTTAGAGACATTATAATTATCTTTTTTCTGCACTCACTTTTGTTCTCTTATTTTGCATTAAGTTGATGTGTGTTTTGCTCTCTTTCAGCTAGTATTTGCTATGGAAAAATCTATGAATAAAAGGAGATTGTGGAATTTCACAGAAGAGGAGATCTCAGAACGAGTGACACTTCACATTTGTTCTTCTACAAAAAAGTATCTTTTATTTAGGTGTTTATATTTTAAAGTATGTGATATCAAAATAATGTTCCTGCAGTTTTTTCCCGAAATATTTATTTAAATTGTATTTTGAAAACAGGCATAATTTGGAAGTTTTTCCTTCAAATAACACATAATTAGGACTGCCAACAATAATAATAGAAATAATGGTCGTTAATCATGTCTTAGGATTGTTAAAGAGTTTAAGAAAGGTGGCAAGGACTGGGGATTCTGAGCTCTTTACCAGCCAACTACCCCATTTTTTGATGCTTAGTAGGTCCTCTACAAGAGAGGTCGATGCCCATCTGACAGCTTAGGCAAAGTAATGGCTTTGATCATGTTAAATTTTCACCTCCAGTTCAAAATGTCCAATTCAGAGCACAGATAATACTGAGCTGGACACTGTAGGACATCCAAGAAATTTTTATGTCTTTAGCCAAGATCAAGTGACACTAAAAGCCTCCTTAGGGCCTCCTTAGCTTCTTTCCTCTACATCTTGCCAGGGCAAGAGTACCAGAGGCAGCCACACCAAGGGAGCGAAGCAGTGCAAGGGACCAGTAAATTAGGACTTGCAAAAGACAAAATTCAAAAACTGATCATTCCTGCAGAAGCTGAGCTTGTAACTCATTTACAGGCCCTTTGACCCAATAAACATTTTCAGACTTGACTCCATTCAAAACAGCACTCCTATTTGTTATAGAGGGTGTGTATTTGAGGAAAATTTTGCAAGTGCTTCCATTCTATTCATTGTGATTAGCAGGATTTTAAGCAATAGGGAATAGTTTAAAGCACCACAAGTATTATAGTCAGAACAGTTTTTGTGTACATATATATTAGTTTATACAAAATATGAATGTATATATGTTTATTTACAAGTTGTATGTGTATTTGTGCAAACATACATATAAATATATATGTATATCTTTAAGTATACGAAGTGGTATGATTTTATAAAAACTCTTGGATGCATGTACTTTATTTTGATTTTTTGATAGTTTATTTTCTTTTGATTAATCAAGAATTCTCTTTTTTTGGTTATTTCTATCCTTAATCAGTAAAGAATATTTTGTCGAACTTATGATATCCATGATCCAAAGGTAAGAAAAATTGCTTTTTAAAGATTTTTGTATTACAAAGTATTTTTAAAATAAAATTCAGTTATTTAGTTTTAAAATTTTTCAGTGCTTTCACTTCTTATCGATGTCTACAACCACCTGCACTTTTTGTTTTGAAATATGATTAATTTCATTACAAGCAAGGAAAAAAGTTTTTGTTGTTGTTCAAATATTTTTCTTAAGCTCCCCCTACCTATTTATGCATTTAGTATTATATTTGAGAGGTTGGTAGTAAAAGCATCTGGGCTTTTGGTAGTTATGTTGCCTAGTAAGCAAGCTACCTACTAGCAGAATCCAGACTAACATTTTGCTAAGGTGTCTAAAAGCAATATGAAAAAGTAACTTCGCAGTATTGTGTTAAGAGAGGATAGGACAGAAAGGAGAACATCTGGCACCTGATAGTCGTTCAGTGGTTATTTGCTCCACACAGAAGCTTCTGAATTGACACTGTCAAAGTTACAGATGAGAACCAGAGAACGGATTCTTTTTAACCTAGCACTGGGGGATGGAGTTGCCAAGGCTGTCTGGAATGTATTGAAGGATAGTGAATTTAATGCATGCTTTATTTCTATTTAGTTTTAACCTGTTGCCCTTTAATGAAAGAAGTTGGCCAAATATGTTAGATATCAGCTTGTATGATTTATTAGGTTGTACATTTTATATTTTATTGATCCGTGTATTTTACCTAAATCACATATTTTATGTTTTTCCACCTTCCCCACTGCTAAAGAGTTCAGCAAAACCAGCAGATTGGAAGTATCAAAATGGACTATCAACTTCATGGCTTTCATTAGAGTGTACAGTTCATATTAATATTCACATCCCACTGTCTACCACTTCTGTCAGCTATACTCTGGAGAAAAATACAAAGGTATCAGGGCAAAATGAATTTTCTTTAGTGATCACTGAACAGATAATCTGCTTTTATTTTGGTTGTCTATGCCATTCATTTTGTAATCCTCAAAAATTACATGCTAATTATGATGATATTATTACGGGTGACTAATTTATTACTCCAGCCAAATTAGAAATTTAGAGATAGGACAGCATTATAATACTAATGTATTTAGCATAATAGGTGCTCCATAAATATTTCTTGATTAACATGCAGTTAAGTACATTGTAAAATATAGTTACATAAAATATAATTCTATAAAAAGGTATACTGTTTGGTCTTTTTTTTTTTCCTCTTGGTCTTTAGTTTTATTTTCTCCTTTCCAGTCCTCTTTTGTATTTCTGTACCATTCTTTTGTTCTTATTTCAGTTCTCTTCTTTTTTCCTATTGAAGGAAGCAAATGGAACTTGCTTATTTTTTCCTCTTTAGTACTGCTTTATATATTTGTTCTTGAGGTTCTTTCTCTTTTCTCACTTTTAATATAATGGGAATTATTGAATTTTATTTGACTATGATCATGTAGTTATTAAGCCTCCTAAGTGTGTGATATGAATGTTAGTTTGGGATAAAGATTAGAAAAACTATTATTAAATATGGCTAAGTTGCCAAAATTTGGGGATATACTTTTTTTTGTTGTTTATGAGACGGAATAAAAGCAAGCATAGGGAATATAGTCAGTGATATTGTAATAGTGTTGTGCAGTGACAGATGGTAGATACACTTGTGAGCATAGCATAAGTATAAATAAATTGGGTCACTATGTTGTATACCTGAAACTAATGTAATATTGTGTGTCAACTATATGCAAAAATTTTAAAAAAATGCATGAAGAAAAAAATGGCAAAATGTTAACTCAAAAAATAAAATACCACGTTACTGATTACCACATTAACATTTGAGTATATTAGGTGGAAAAAAAGTGGGCCCTAGGGAGTTTAATTGAGATGACATTATATCTGAAAGATATCCATGTTGTGTTCCTTTTAAGAATGGACTTGCACACTGGGCTAAGCAAATAGAAAATGGCGTTTATTTGATTAATGGACAAGTTAAAGATGAAGATTGTGATCTATTAGAAGGACAGGTGAGTTGAGAGAAAATCATCTTACTTATGAAATTATTTGTGCTTAAGGAAAAATAAAAGATGACTTTTTTTTAGTTCTTGCCTTCCTGAAAACAGTTTCCATCTACTTCTTATTTCTAATTTCTGAATTAATTGGAATCCTGAAATCTGAAGAAGGGAGTGTCATCTAAATTCTATCTAATTTCCCAATTGTAAACTGCTTGCTTAAAACTAAAGGTACATGTTCTACTTTGATAGCAGTTTAAAAGACTGACCATTTTATAGAAGGGATCTATACAGGTTTCTAAAATAGCTTTGATCTATCTGAAGAGGAACTTTGGTAATCTCTCCCTTTAGTGCAAGGGTCAGTGAACTTTATGTAAAAACCAAATAGTAAATATTTTAGACTTGGTGGGCCACATGGTCTCTGGCAACTATTCAACAAGCAGCCACAGATAACATGTAAATGAATGATTTTGATTGCGTTCTGTAAAACTTTATTTACAAAGACTAGAAGTGGTCTGGATTTGACCTATAGCCATAGTTTGCCAGTCCTTACTTTAGAGGAATAAAAGTAGGGAATTAATGGTTTTTAAGAGTATACACTGATAGACAATACACAAAGTAACATATTTATAGAAAAAGCCAATATAAAACAAATAATAAGACTTTCTTTTCCTCTAAGTTACTTAATATATGTAAGATAGTTCCTAAATTGTCTTTTGTATTCCACTCCAGTCTCAGTAATCTAGTTTTTTAACTTTTGTGTTTTTTCAGAAAAAATCTTCTAGAGGCAATGTTCAAGCAACTAGTCATTCTTTTGATGTCAAAGTGCTAACACAGTTGGTAAATATTTTAAAATACTACTTATCTAAAATACTTTATTTTTTAGAATAATCATAATGAAATTGTTTTGGTTTTTATATTTATAATTAGAGAGTCAAAGAATTTTAGAGATGTGAAGTGTAAAAAATGTCTAGTTCTAGGAAATTTATTTCCAAGAAGCATTATGTTAATAAAACCTATTTTGGTCTTTTGCCTGAAGGCTATTAAGATTTTAGCATCAAGTAGAGAGCAATTTAAAAATATATATGTATTTTATATATATAACATATATAAATAACACATACATACACATACATGTATGTGTGTGTGATATTTTGTGTTGTAGGTTTTATGAGCAAAGTTGTAGTTCTTAACAACTTAAAAAGATGTATGCACAGATGTGCCAAGAGTTGTCATATACTTAATTTTGAAGTATATTTATACCTCCTCTGATTTGGTAAAAATCACATATTATTAGCAACTTTTATATTTTTATATAGTTGTTTTAAATTACACATCTCTTCAGAATTGGAAGTCGGGTATCTTGAAGAATAAAAAGTTAAAGCCACTAATTATTCCTAAAAGAACGCATGCAGAACAGGATATTTTTTATTGTATGTTTTGTACAAATACAAATATTGTATTTTTTTTTAACTAAGTAAAATAGACTTAAAAATAATTTGCATAGGAGGACTTTTTAATTTCTTTTTTCCTTCTCTGTGTTTGGCAATAGTATTTACTAAATTGTCATTGGACTTAATGGCACTCAACATGAGTTCTCAATTTCTCTTCTTAGTACCTTTGAGTTTAGATGTGTCCTTTATTTTATTTAAAGATTTTATTTTATTTATTTGACAGAGAGAGAGAGAGACAGCTAGAGAGGGGGAGTGGGAGAGGGAGAAGCAGGCTCCTGGCCGAGCAGGGAGCCCGATGCGGGGCTCAATCCCAGGACCCTGGGATCATGACCTGAGCTGAAGGCAGACGCTTAACAACTGAGCCATCCAGGCACCCCTAGATGTGTCCTTTATTTTAAAGCTGTTCCTGTATCTATATGCTTTTTACTAGATATGCTTATGTGACCTTTTGGTTTTTTAAATAATTTACTTAAAATTATTTTAGTGAGAAAATTGGAGTTGGTAGATGTGTAGACTATGGGAAAACAGAAAGGAGAGATAATATTATGAGAGATAATTTATTATAATATTTATTATTATACAGTATAATATCTTTTTATCAATCATTCCACTGGTCAGCCAGCTTGAAACTTTAAAATGACTAATATGTAATAAGTAGTCAATAAATATTTGATGTCACTTTCCTCCTACTTAACCTCCATCAAGTCTTGTTGATTTTTCCTTTGCAATGTTAAGTTCATCTTCTATTTTCCTTACGGTCTTAACTGCCACTAGTCTTACAATGTTATTAATTTACCTATATTATTACATATAACTCTTAACTGGTCTCTGTTCATTCTTGTCCAGAGTGATTCTTTTTCTGAAAATCCTGATACCTTTATTTGTATGTCTCTTGGAGTATCTTCTATATTTCCAGTCTATCCTACATATAAACCGTCAGATTATCCTATCTGAGTCACAGTTTGCATTCATTCACTTGTTATTTACTTATTAGTGTTTTTTAGAAAGTATTTATTGAGTATGTATAAGGGTTAGGCACTGATTGTGTTAATCTCCTTGTTTAAAATTTCTTAGGTGCTCTACACTGACTACTTAGAAAAGTCTAATTCAAGGCTCTTCATAGCCGCAGCATACCTATTCATTAATTTCATACTTACTGTTTCAGAGGTTTGCTTTCTATGCCTTTAAAATCGTATTTATTTTCTGAGCCATGTGTCTTGCCAGTACCATCTTTTCTCTGTCATTCAGACAGTCAGAATCCTGTCTGTACTTTAAGATCTACCCCAAATGCTACCACTTATGTAAAGTTTCTTTTGGTGATCATAACCAGAGGAATCTTTTCTTTTCCAAAATACTATATCATTGTCACAGAAATTCCTCCACTTATGACCAAGTTAGGTTCCCAGAGTCTCTTTGTAAGCTACTTTGTTCCTAAGTCCAAAGAAACCAAGAGGAGTTGACATTTGTAGAACACAGGTATATTTCTACCAGAAAGGAGTAAGTTAATCCTTACATCTTTTGAAAATTCTCCGTGTGTGTACGTAGTCTGTAATGTATAGTCTAGTCCTTTTTGGAAAATAGTGCCCTAATTAAGGGCGCTATTACATGTTGTATAATATTAGATAGTGTTATATTATGTTATGTTATGTTATATATTATTATAAGTGTGTTATATACTATAAAACATATGCTAGATATTAAATATATAAAATAGGGCATTATGTTCCAAAATGGAATAGTTTCATCAATAGTAAAGTTCCGCATAGTGGATAAGGGAAGCCCAGTACTCTCCCTCCACCCTCACCTTATTGATATATAGATCTCTACGAGTATCATAGGAAGCTTATTCCAGATACAATATGAGCATTATCACCCTGCTGTTTGGTTTGATGAAAGACATTTTTTTAAACAGACTTGGAACCTTTTAAACTATTCAGTCTGTGACAAATTTCTTACCAATAAGAACTTGACTGTGTTTAAGTTTAAATTCTTAAAAAAAAAAACAACACAAAAAAAACAAACTAGCTTTGCTTGAATTACATTAGACATTGACTGTTCAGTAGCTATATATTAAGTCTTTCATTTTCTTCACCATTTTTCCTCCTCAGTTCCTGATTATTCTTTTTGCAGAGGCACATATAACACTATTCATAAGTTGCATGATTTGTTTTTGTTCTTAAGAATTGACTCTATTTATTCTAGGTATACTTAGAATTTTTATTTTTACCATGTCTCATTTATGGGGTATCCTTTTTTAAAATCACAATTTTTGTTTCCATTGTGATTTATAGGCTTCCAGTAGTACTTTCACTGTTTTAATGCTCTCCTTGTTTGGGCATTTATTAAAATAATAAGGTTAAAAACATCTTTGAAACATCTTGAAACCAAGCATGAATTAACACTCCTTAGATTACGGAAGAATGAGCTTGTAAATGGAAGTGACTGCTTACAACCACTCATGTCATTTTCTGGTGACAACCGCAGTTGACTTGCCTTTTTGCTGCTGGGGAACATATAGCATTACTTTTAGTCTATGGAAGTTAAGTGTCAAAAGTGTATAAATAAGTGTCTTTACACTGCTTATCATTTTACCAAATTTATCACAACCTCTGTTATTCCAGTTATTTTTGTGCAAACCTTATATTGCATACCTTATATATCCTACTACACAGATGATGTACTAAATATATATATATGTCTTCTTTACACATCTTTTATCTTAACAGTATTTAACCGAGTAATCTGCAAATAATATATTTTTAGTGAATATGTTAAATAAAGAATGGTATTTTAGATGGTCATGTTAGTAAGAAAAAATTTAGATGTAGTTGTGTTTAACATCAGAGTACATTTAAAATACTCAGAAAATAATATATAACTTAGTAAGGAGGAATATGAAGTTCTTTTAATAATTTATGGGAAATATTTTCAAACACTTGGTTCAGTCAAAAATTCTATCTTGCTTCATGAAATGGCTTATATAATTTTTAAGTGTTTCATATAGTTAATTGCTGGCTATTAGAACTTAAAGAGATTTTGTCTTTCAGCTTCTGAATTCGGACCGCAGATCCACAGCCACAGTCCAGATCTGCAGTGGCTCTGTAAACCTTAAGGGTGCTGTGAAATGCAGAGCCTATATTCATAGCAATAAACCCAAGGTTAAAGATGCTGTGCAGGTACAAAAGGAATAACTGGTATATGAAAAACAGAAGCATGTTGATGTAACTATCCAAAAATCCTAAAATTTTTCTCAATCTCAGATTTCATAATTATGAATTTGATTTTAACTGATAATCAAGTCCCAATCTATTGGCTAGTCCAAATATACCATGTAATTGGTCCCAAGATTTTCATATGTAGGATGTCTGTTTTAAAATGCCTTTTTTAAACTGATGATTATACAAATTTATTCAGTGCTCCACAGTTGTGATATATTAGTGCATTTGAAATCATTTCTTTGGAGGGAAATTAAACTTTTTAAATAACAAGAAAAGTATTCATTGGAAGTATTATTAGGTAATATTCTGTAATCCGTAAAATTTCTATCCAGAAATTTAAAAAATGATGACTGGCACTTTTGTCATAGTTATACATTTCCTAATTTGGAACACTAGCATTATTTCTTTAGATGGAAAATTTCATTCATTTATTTGGTTTTAATTATTTAAATGAAGGTTAAGCAAATTTGCTATTAAACTGTTAATGTGTTAATAAGCATGTTAAATAAATGGACATTAAAAAATGGAATGATATACCAGTTATTTTAGTGGACATGATTATATAGGAAAGTCAATTATGTTGGGGGAGGGTGGTAATAAAATAGTGCAAATCTAAAGTAATGGGTTTTATTTCTTATTGTAATTTGTTTTGTTTTTTCATAGGCAATGAAGAGAGATATATTGAATACAGTTGCAGATCGTTGCGAAATGCTATTTGAGGATCTTCTTTTGAATGAAATTCCAGGAAAAAAAGTTATGAGTATAAAATTAAGAACATTTTTTGTGTGTGTTCAATTGATACAGTAATAGGATGTCAAAATGTAATAGATACATCATCTTTTGTAACTACCCAGATCTATCTTTTATAACAATATGGCATCTTTTACTTTTCTTAGTGAATGACAGTTTTTCAGTTGCCACCCAAAAAAAAGATGTTTAGAACACCTTATAATAACAAATCTGTCAACTTTTAACAGTCTCAGGGAGGATTTTTTTTTTAAATTCTGCATGAATTTCTGCCAGAATGGATAAACTATTAACTTTTTAATTTAATTTAATTTTATTTTTAAGATTTTATTTATTTGAGAGAGAGAGAACACAAGCGGGGAAGCAGCAGAGGGAGAAAAGCAGGCTCCCCACTGAGCATGGAGCCTGACATGGGGCTTGATCTCAGGACCTTGAGATCATGACCTGAGCTGAAGGCAGCCACTTAACAAACTGAGCCACCCAGGTGCCCTTTTGTTAACATTTTAAAGCTAATGTTTTTTAATTAAATCTGAGATTTAAAAAAAATATTATTCAAAATAAAAATATTTATTAGTGTTTAAGTATTATATAATAAAATTTTAATAGGTATTAATTTATGGTATATATGCAATTGATCTGTTAATACCAAATTTTTTTGAATACCAATTTATATACTCATTATTACTCTAACACTTTATCAGATTTTAAAAAGCCTGGGTCATGGTGTCTTAACCTTTTATATTATTCCGTTTTGAAAATTATAAACTATACCATTTCCATAATTTGTATTAATAATAATATTTTTACTCCAAAAGAAAATTATAATACTGAGTATGCTTTTTGAAGTTACACATTTTTCTCTACCTTCCTACCATTCAGGTGCGATTGCACTTGCAATTCACAGTTGAGTATGTACATAATTGAAACATATACATTAGCTAGTTAAGGGAATATTTTTATGTTAATAGGAAAAACTCTATGTAACTATGTAATACACTTCTTGTAGTACTATTGATAGGTAGTATATTAGGTTTGGTGGACTAGTCATAATTTTTATATTCCTAATATGATAGATTAGCAGAATTGCCAGATTTAACATTTGTCCTTCCTATACTCACAAATAACCCTGAAGCTCCATTTACTAATGTATAGTTTTTCTGAGACATGAATTTGAATCTTACATGCAACAATTGGATTGAGATTTTTGTTTTGGAAAGTAGGTAAAACCTGATCAGTCAGTCACCCGGTCAGCCTATCAGTCTCGTGTTAGGGTGGCCTTGTTTTTACTACTTTGTGTATGTGATAACTCTCGTGGTGCTAAACATTACTTCACTTTTTGAGCAACAGTATGTGCTACAACTGAACTGTGAATTTTAGGATTTTCAGGGACATGGGGATGCATTCACCATTAGTGCCAAAATCTACCCTATTATACACATTAGTTCAATACGCTATTCCATTTAACAGTGCTTTGTAAACTGGTATTATATGACTGTCTTGGTATTACTTTATATTGAGTGAGCTAGTATTTTTAAATTTTTGCTGATGTTCAAGCAGTACAATTACTTCCCACAGCAGTTGTGATATTTATACATTAAATTTGATGTATTAGAAGTTAACGTTATCTAATGTTATCTCTTCCTAAATTTTTTAAAAATAAAAGTTTTCACTGGTAGTTGAGTGGCCTTTGAGGCCTGTGTGAAGAGAATGGTCACTGTAGTTTGTTGGAAAAAAAGCAGTGACTAACATATTTGGTTGGGTTCTGTGTCTACTCTACCATTAGCTGAGTCACTTTGGACCAATGATTTAGTCTATCCAAGCATCCATTGTCTTATCTAGAAAACAGGGATTATAGTAGATAATCTTTGAGGTTGTGAGATTAAAAAAGATGATGTTTGTAAAGCCCCTAATACAAATAGGTAAACTATATGTTCAGTAAGTGGTAGTTACTATTATATTGGAGATGGTAAAGAGAATTACTTGATAATTGTCTTTAAAATTTCCTAACTTTAATTTTTGGGAAGTGTATCATTGTATTTCGAAAAGAAAGCAAGTATAAATATATATATTTTTAAACTTTAGTAACAGAATTATTTCAGCAACATCTTAGTTGATCTTAAGATACCACAATAAAAGAATAAATTGCAAGTGTAATAATACAAACAAAAGTAAAATTTGAAGTTGAACGTATATACACCAAATTGTTCGATTTTAGATTTAGTCTTCATTTTACTTAGCTTATCTTTCTTCTATACTGGTAAGATTTTATGTATTTGTAATTTGGTAAAATGTAGAATGTATGCCATGAAATTAACCTGAACTAGAGGGTTTTTTTGCATGCTTAAGGAAGTCTGCAAAGGGCATATTAACTTTACATTCCTAATCTTTAAAATAAACATAGTCTCTGAATTCTGGCTATCCAGATGAAAGAACCGGATGTAGTTGAATGACAATAAAAAATGTAAGTCCAATCATTCCTTTAACTTATTATGGTCTTCCCCTTCTCAGATTCCCCTTAAGAATTCCAGAGCTTCTCTCAGCCTACATTCAGTCTTGCCCAACTTACTCTCAGCAGGTGACCTACTCATTGTGAAAATTGAAGACTCTTACCTTCTTCCATTCCTATATTCATATCCATCCATATCACTTGTCCTCTGAGAACATATCTGTATTCCTCTTTGCCTTTGGTCGTGGTTTTGCTCTTTAGATGGCACTTCGCTTTGCTTCATACAAATGTCTACTTATCCTTCAAGAATCAACTCAGATCTCAACTATTGTACACAAGTTTCTATAATACTCCAGTATGAGTTAGGATTCTGTTCTTAACCAGTAAAAAACCAATTCTTATATTGCCTTGAATTTTTTCTCTGTTTTGAACTTACTTCAAATAATGTTTAACTAGATGCTCTGCTGTGGGAATATTCCTAAAGGATTCTTAGAATACTTTGTGAGAAATGTTTTTTTAAAAGATCCTCCCTTTTTTAACCTCAGACCAACCAGAAAAAAACTTGGTTTTATTTAGATACTAAATGGCTAATTTAACTTTTTTTTTAAAGATTTTTATTTATTTATTTAACAGAGATAGCACAAGTAGGCAGAGCAGCAGACAGAGGGAGAGGGAGAAGCAGGCTCTCCGCCGAGCAAGGAGCCCGATATGGGGCTCGATCCCAGAACCCTGGGATCATGACCTGAGCCGAAGGCAGCCGCTTAACCGACTGAGCCACCCAGGCGCCCCTAATTTAACTTTTTAATTTGAAAATTATAAGTTCTTTTTTTAAATGAGTAATTTAAAATGATCGCAACTACTGCTTTCACGTTTGATTTTATACCAAAGAAATTTATTTCTTTTTCAGGAAAACTAGAATTAATGCAGCTTGAAATAGTTTTAAAATTTTTCATGCCAATTACACATATATATTGTAGCCATCTTTGAAAGTTTTGAACTTAACCTGTTTTAAGAAACTGTAGCCGAAAATAAAATAGTACATCCCTAATTTCAATGTGTGGACAATATACACGCTACAGTAAAAATTGCAGTAATATAATTTTACCGCTAGGAGGCAGCCTGGTCAAAGAGTAAAATTCTCCCAGTTCTCATATGACAACAAGATAAGCTGAATCTGCAGGAACACTAATTTAAGTCATAGCATTTTCTGTGACACTTAAGGCATTCTTTGTCATCTTTTGTTTGTAAAGCTAAAGCTACCACTAGTTTCTTGATAAGGAAATGTAGATTGCTTTTAAAGTGAGCCCTAGTTTTCTACTTGATCTGTACATTGGCTGCTTAATCATATCCATTGCTGAAAGAGGTGATTCTTTACACAAAATCTCTATCTTTGTTAATAGTTCAATAGAATGATGGTGTTGAACCAAACAATAATTATGTGTTCATGTAGAACAGTGACAATGTTAGAAATTGGGGGGAATGTTATATTTTACTTTGTGAGTATTCAAAGAATGAAACATTTATTATTTAGATCCAGATTTTTTCTAAAGATAATTTAAAGCTGTTTGCAAAAAGGTATTACAATTTAACAAGATAAAAATTATTAGCAATAAGAATGAGGCAAGAGGAAAATGAAAAAGAAAGCAGGATGGAGTTGGTAGTAAGATGAGTATACAAAGCATGTATCTTGATGTCCTGGTAAGATGAAGTCAGTGGTAAGATTAGTGCAAAATGAATGCTATTCAATTTTCCTATACATTTGATGTAGGTGGGCCACTAATTTGACTCCAAACTTGCATGAAGAAGAGAAATATTTATAAAATGCGGTGCTTGTATGGTTAAACAAGAAAAACAACAATTTCTGAGACCAGGGACAAAATTCTCCTGGGTATTCCTTCATAGGACAGTGGATAATACAAGAATATATAACTTAAAAAAAAAGAAAGAAAGAATGTATAGCTAACAATACCTTCACATTTGAAGGCAGTGGTTAAGTTTACATTTCATAGGAGTATCATTTAGTCCCTTGCAGAGGCCAGGAGTATTGAGGTAAAGCAGAATTCAGTAAGAGCAATTCTGTGTCCAATCAATTAAGACATGAAAAGGCCTTTTAGGTTTTATTTTTATTAGTGTATATTTCATATACAAATATATCACTGATGCTAGTGACAGACCTATCTAAATATTGATAATGTTCTATCTCCTTTTAGATTCTGAAAAAGAGTTTCATATCCTCCCTCACCGAGTTTTCGTCCCCATTCCGGGATCCACTGTAATGTTATGTGATTATAAATTTGGTGATGAGTCAGCTGAAGAAATGAGAGACCATTTTATAGAGATGTTAGATCATATGATTCAAATAGAAGATTTGGAAATTGCAGAGGAAATAAACACAGGTAATTATATGATGTTACTTAAGAACCCGATTAGACTTTTGCTAAGATGACCTATAAGGCATCTGGTTTAAGGACGTCTTTAGATTTCTTTAACACTAGTTCAGTTTGATATTTTTGAGGCATTTAAAAATGTGTCTGTTTAATTTCTACAGATAGAAACATGCAGTCAGTGTTTTCCTGGAAAATTCTACCAAAATTTAAGTTACTTAAGGTTTTTCTAAGCCTAGCAAGTAGATGTTCATAAGACAAGTTCAGCTTTAAATAGGTGGAAATACATAGCTTTTAGGTGTTTCTTTTATTATAAGAAAAGTTTTCTTAAAATTCACTATCTTAATTGTTTGGTTAAGCATTTTTAAACAGTTTATTAAACATCTTTTCGATACTAGTGGGCTTTATTTTCTTACACCTTCACGTAATTGGGATACTAAGGTTAAATGGGCAGTTCCAAACATTAGATCAAGATTATTTTTATAGAGCATAGATTTGCCATACTATCTAATTATGTAACAGTTTCTCCTCCTAAATGTCAGTTTCACATTTGACCTTACATTCTTTTTTTTGTTGTTTTTTGTTTTTTTTTTTAATATTGCACAGTTTATTCTTGTCCCAGTTTTTATCACAAAATACTGATTCCATCAAAATATATTTTTATTGATATTAGGGCCAACTTGCAAAACACTTGAAGCACAGATGTTGTTTCAAGGTGCCATTTTGTGATCTGACTTCCCTTTTCCACTTCTTGAATTAATCTCCTTTGTGGGTCTCTGGCTGTTGAGTTTAGGTGGGTAACGTTCAGTCACAATGAAAGTAAGGTGAGGGACTGGTCTCTGATGTGCTTGTTACCTTTGTGGTCTTTGATTACTACACTTGAGTCATTTTGTAAGTATATCTCATTTATCAAGAGAGG